GCAAGTACCTGAAAACGTGGAAGCAGATTTGGAACTGGGTAATGGGTAGAGGTTGGAAGAATCTGGAGGAGCGGGCTAGAAAAAGCCTAGACTCCTTGCCACCCCTGCCTCAGAGAACACTTTCCCTCCTCTCATGTCCCTACTTGTTGTAATAAAAGGACGTGGCTCATCTAGTCACCTGATGCCCACAGTATTACCTGTGCTGACCATTGTTGAAGGCTGTCCTCTCTGCACGTTCTCTGATCTGAATTACTAATAAACCCCTTTAACTTCTCTCAGACAAAAGTGAAAATAACGGAAAATGGTGGTAGAGATTTACCCATAATTTGAAAGGCTCAGAAATGGGAAAACCATTGTTAAGACACAATCATAATTAAAAGTTGAGGGAAAAAACGGGGAAAATTGACTGCCAGGGCCAAGCAGGTAACAGAATTGAGTGAAGCAGGTCAAGTGTAAGATACCAGAGAGTGGTGGGGACAGAACTGGAAGACGGCAACTCCTCTAACTGAGGCAGACACTATTTAATTGTTCCCTTGTGGAAATCATGGCCTAATGTTACCGCGTCTTCTGATTTTCCAAGGAAAGTTAGAAATCGAGATTTTTCATGAGAAGTTTATTTTTGAAATGTTGGCAACTAACTCAAGGTCTTTACAGAAAGACTGAAGATTAGAGACCTAAGGACATCTAAGAAAAGTCATACAGAAAGTCGTTGAAAATTCCTTCGTGGTAACCCCAACACAAATGTAAATGTATCAGCAAAAGTCTACTGTAGACTAAAAATAAAATTCTAAGCCCCCCAGCCACCTGAACCAAGAGGATCCCAGAGCGACCTTGAAAACTGAGTTCTTGGCCACGTGGGGATGGAAGGTAAGATGCCTCCTTTAAACCCCTTGCTTACTAACTGCCTGGAGGCGTTCTTCCCTAAGGGCTAAACAGCAACCAGCCCTTTCAGAAGACTCTACTGCTGCTATCATCCAACCCAGCTGCCTGACTGCTGCCCCTCTCTTTGGCCACTTCAAAACAGTCAACCAGCATTTCCTTCCTGATAAGAGACCACAGAACAGGGAGTGGTTCTGGCCAGTCTCCGAAAGATGCGGGTTTTTGTGTCCTCTGCCTCACCTTTTGATGTCAGAGGGCCAAAACCTCCACCCTTGGATCATGCTAACACAGCCATTTTTTTTGTACATGACTCCTATGATGGGGTGTGAAGCTCAACCACACATGCACACAGTTGTCCTTTCATAAATATTCATGACTCCTCCTATAGCTCATTAAATATGTATGTTTGCCCACCCGGCTGAGCATAAATTCCTCCTCCTTTTGCCCCTCCTTCAAAGTATCTGTTGCTGGCTTCTGGCAGGAAGCTGTGCTTCCCAGCCTGTTAGAATGGCCTCCCTGCAGGCTGCAACCCTCTCTGAGAAAGCAAGCTCTCCTTTCCAAATTTATGAACCTCATCATTCTTCAGTTGACAATACATTGTATAACACCACCCACCCACACACACACACACACACACACACCCCCAACACAAACCCCATCTTCACAAAAGGGGTGGGAAGCAAAAATACTGATACAGTCAATTTTGCATTAGCTTGATACTTGCCCATCTGAAGTGTGTCCTCTGAATGCAGTTCTAGAATGGGGCTGGATAGGGGAGGCTTGCATCTATGGGAAGATGGGAAAGAGGAGAAAGATGAGTCTATTTGCTCTTCAATTTACTCATGAGTTCATTTACTGCACAAATGCAGACACTCACTAGCAAAATGGCAAATATATATTTGCTATTGTTCACAGCAGGGGCCCCTCTAAAAATGGCTTCAGTTTAATCACTTTTGACCCTACACACATACAGTAAAACTTCAGTGGACACAGGTCTCAGGTGACATTGGCTAAGCATTACACTTGGCATCCAATGTCCAAATCACAAACTGATCATGAAGTATTTAGACTTAGAAATAGCTAAAGATAGCCTAACAAGAATTTTTCAAACGTTCCAATGTTTTTTTGGGCCATCTCTAGTTTGCTGCCTATTCTCAATCAAATTTTAAAAGCTACCTGTTATTTGTCACAGGTAGCCAGAAGAATTGACTCTTACACAAACTTAAAGTTCAGTAACATTTATGTGGTAACTTCCCCAATCCAGAATAGGCAAAAAATCAGAAATGAGATATGCATCAATATCCCAACAACCATAACCAAACACCAACACACTTTCACAAACCACCTCTGGACTTAACCAAGAGCCAGTTACTCTTATTCCACTCAGAGTTCTAACCAGCCAGTACTTTCCAGTTCCCAGAGCATCAGAATTGCCATGTATCACTTAAAAAGCATATTTAATATAAAATTAAATATATTAAATATAAAAGAAAAGAAAAGGTAAACTCAGGAGGCACATAAGGCCTCATCCATTATTTTCATGGATCCAGAAAAAAATAAAGCTTGAAAGTTATTTCCAATTTGTAAGGATCAGACTTTTCTAAAGGATGGCTGAAACACTTTAACGTTTACTCACATTTTTTTCAATATAAGAATTAGGGTTTTATTTAAATGACTAAGTTAAAAGGGGGGATGGGGAGGGACTGTAGTTAAAACTATTAAGATGCGGGCCGGGCACAGTGGCTCACACCTGTAATCCCAGCACTTTGGGAGGCCGAGGTGGGCAGATCACCTGAGGTCGGGAGTTCGAGATCAGCCCAACCAAAATGGAGAAATCCCATCTCTACTAAAAATACAAAATTAGCCAGGCGTGGTGGCACATGTCTGTAATCCCAGCTACTAGGGAGGCTGAGGCAGGAGAATCTCATGAACCCAGGAGGCGGAGGTTGCAGTGAGCTGAGATTGCACTCCAGCCTGGGCAACAAGAGCAAAACTCTGTCTAGAAAAAAAAAAAAAACCAACAATTAAGATTCCTTGATCTTGAGCTTGAAGTCACAGTTTGAATCTCAGCTCTACCCTTTCCTAGATAGAAGACTTTGGGCAAATTAACTTCTTTAAGCCTCAGTTTCCTTATCTGCAAAAAGGGGATAACAGCAGCACTTAATTCATGAGTGTCTTGTGAGGACTGAATGAAACAATCCAAGTGAAGCACTTAACATGGTACTAGGCTGTGAAAGCTCTCAGCACACATTAGTAAACCTGTCATCTGCAACTCCGTAAACTCCCTGATACTGGACTCGGAATGGCGCCCATAACATCTCATATGTAATAACTAACTTCAGTCTTCCATTAATTCAGTCACATATACAAAAAAACCACTTACTGTACATCTATTCTGGGACAGGTAACTTACTTTTTTTTTTTGAGACAGAGTCTTGCTCTGTCACACAGGCTAGACTGCAGTGGTGTGATCATGACTCACTGCAGCCTCGACCTCCTGGGCTCAAGTGATCCTTCTATTTCAGCCTCCCAAGTAACTGAGACTACAGATGCACCTACCATGCCTGGCCAATTTTTGTATATTTAGTAGAGACGAGGTTTCGCCATGTTGCCCGGGCTGGTCTCGAACTCCCGGGCTCAAGCAACCCACCAGCCTTGGCCTTCCAAAGTGCTGGGATTACAGGTGTGAGCCACTGTGCCCAGCCAAGGCCAGGTAACTTTCTACATGCCCTTGGAATAAAGTATTAAACAAAAGACACACACATTCAGATTATCAAAACATGGGGTCACTTTTTAAATGTTCCAGGAAACTACATTAATGGCTGGAGAGTCATAATGAAAGAGAACAGGAATGGGATACGGCTCCTTCTTCATGTTTAACCAGATCCATTTAAAGAATCCCAGGAACTAGCCTTAGGAAATCTAAATGTCAAACCAAGGCGGCAGAGTGTCTCATTCCAGGAAGGAACACTGAACAACTGATTTACAGCAGGGGTGTCCCATCTTTTGGCTTCCCTGGGCCACACTGGAAGAACTGTCTTGGGCCACAAATACACGAACACTAACAATAGCTGACGAGCTTTAAAAAAAAATAAGTCACAAAAGAATCTCATAATGTTTTAAGAAATGTTACGTAATTGTGTTGGGCTGCATTCAAAGCAGTCCTGGGCCGCATGTCACATGCCCGTATGTCACCCACCGGCAGGCCTGGGGTTGAACAAGCTTGATTACAACCTTGTTGCCTCTGTCCAGCCTACCAGGTGGTCCATTAACTAAGATAACCATCAGCCACTAGATACACTGACCCGCATCCCCTACCCCTCACATGCTTCGCCCAGCCCAGCCTACATGCCCTCTCCTGATGTCAGTTACCAGGCTTCGCTAATAAAATGTCTCTCCCGGCTTTCAGGGAGCCAGTCGCTGAGCCCTCGAGCCTCTGCTGTCCCCCTGTGCGCTCAAGCACAAGCCCCCAACTAAAAGCCTTGTCTGGGAAATCTGCTTGGTGCCATAACAGATTATCCGGTGAGCCAGGCAGGAGCACAAGGAGCAACTACTCGCCCCGCAGGGGAGGCTTATGAGCCAGTGGGCCGGAGGGAGGCCCCATTGATTCAGCACTGCCACCGCGACTGGTGAGTTTTCCTCCGGTCTCCGAGAGACTCCTCGCCACCCCCGCCCCAGACAACGCTTTCCCTTCCCTCACGTCCCCTATTTGTTGTCTTTGTCCTTCTTCCTTTCTGCTTTCCTTCCTTCACTTTTAACTTCATTGGCTCAACCTGAATAGACACCCGTGCAGGATGGACTGACGCGGCTGGCAGGAACTATCAGGCACCCTGGCTTTAGCCTCTGTCATCTTCAAGTCTTTCAGTGCTTTCCCTCCCTCTCCCACACCTGGTGGGAACGGAAGCCTGTGAGCTCTTCTCTGTCTGTTCAGTGTTCGAGCCTAAGGACTCTGGGTGCTGCCTTTGTGTGGGGAGAATTGACGGCACATGGGGCTGGAGTTTGCCTAGCTCATGCCCTGATCTGTTTTTCTTTTTGTGTGTTTCATTCAACATCTTATTGACTGTCATTCGGTTACTACCAAATGCAGGACACTGGTCAGCAGAACCCGGACCTCGTGTAAGGCTGAAGAATAAAAAGGACCCATCCAAGCTAGCACTCCGTTTTGGGGAGTTCTCTTCACCGGCCACACCTGCCCTCTCGTGTGACCTGTATTGTTGTGCTGTGCGGGGCTGGGAGCCAACTCTCTTGTCGCCTGACACCTGTGCTTGCACCCTGCCCCTGGCCCTTTACTAAGACAAGCAGACACAGGGGCTACAGTCATGGGCAATGCCCCAGGCATCTTCCAAGACTCACGTCTGGGATGTATCATTTCTAAATGGAAGGAATCCAAATCCGATGGCTTAAAGAAAAAGAAACTCCAGCCTGGGAAACACAGGAAAACTCCACCTCAACAAAAAACAGGAAAAAGGAGCCAGGTGTGGGGGTGCCTGCCTGTGGTCCCAGCTACTCGGAAGGCTAAGGCAAGGATCGCTTAAGCCCAGGAGGTTGAGGCTGCAGTGAGCTGTGGTCGCACCATAACACTCCAGTCTGGGCAATGGAGTGAGACCCTGTCTCAAAAAAAATAAATTTAATTAAAAAAAAGAACTGATTTTCCTCTGTAATACAACCTGCCCTAGTACACATTAGATCAAGAAAAATGGCCGTGGGTGGAAGTGGATCTCCTAGTTTTAACACTATCTTACAGCCGGATCTATTCTGTGAATGGACAGAGAAATGGGGAGAGATACCTAGATATAAGCTTTTATGAAGTTATGCTAGGACCCAAAGCTACTGGATTCTTGTCAGGTGTGTGTGGCCCCTATTTCCAGGTTCCTCCTGAAGGAACTTGAGGAAGTGGACCTCCACAGCCTCAGGCCCCCAGAATTCCCTCCCCATCCTAAGCAGGCCTCCTGGGGAGGGGACCCCTGTGCTGTCCCCAGTAGGGCTCTAATCGGACTCCAAACAGGCATCCTCTTTTGCTTCCCCACTGGCCCAGGGCTGTTTTCCCCTCAGAGAAATGGATGGAAACAGGGGAGGGACAAGGGTGCACGTTCCTTTTTTGGTGGTGGATCTAGGACTATGTAAAGAACACTTTGGTAGACCTTCAGAGGATCCTGGTAAGTTTAGAGATGAATCTGTTAGACTAAATTTCGCCTTTTCATTGATGTGGCGGGATGTTATGGTCACTTTGCAGTATTGATGAAAAGCAACACATATTTGAAAAGGCTAAGGAATATGCCAATATCTAGGTAGTCACTAAACACCAATATGCAGTCATCCGTGTAGGGCGAGATGCGGTCCCAGGCACAGTCTCCATGCGAGTGAGACTATGGAGAAAACCTAGATAAAGCTAGAATAAGCCACTTTGTCACCTGCCTGACTAAAGGAAGAAGGAAATGTATAGTCAAACCTGTACACTATGACAGGTACCCAGAGAAAGGAGGCGATCCCAGTAGTCTTCCTCAATAGAATCCCTGAAGCGCTTGAGAAATGCACCCATGCAGACCTGGGGGCAGCAGAGCGGAGGCATCACGTGCTGTGCATTTTATCCTTCAGCCAGCTCCGGACATTAGAAGGAAATTACAGAAAATTTGGAGGCCAGACCCCAGACCCTGCTGTTGACCTTGGCAGACGAGGCTTTTAAGGTCTTCAATAACAGGCAGGACAGAGATGGCAGATGAGAAGAGGAGACTGACCAAAACAGCACAGCTTCTGGCTGCCCTAATTCATCCACTACCTGAGGGTGACCCTAGGAGGCCCAGGAGACCAACCAATCGAAGACAGCCAACCCTGGATGGAGCCAATGTACATACTGCAGGACAGAGGGTCACTGGGAGAGAGGCTGCCCTGACCTCCATAAAACAGGACAGCCGGCAGGCAACCCTGGCCAGTCCCCACTCCTCACCAAGCTTTCAGATGAGATTGATAGACACCGCCTGACAGCATCCTGCCTCCGACTGCAGCACACTCTATCATCATCACACCACGGAGCCTCAGGTCACCTTTGATGTGGCAGGTAAGAAAACTGAGTTCCTTGTGGACAGCAGAGTCGCCTGCTCTGTCCTGACCCAGCCTATTTGCCCCCTCTCCAATTGCAATTGCAGGGTGATGGGAATAGACAGGTGTCCTAAGGTAAGAAAATGTACTTTCCCTCTTGCTTGTGAGGCCATGTCTAGGCTTATTTCTCCTCATTTCTGTATGCTCCCCAGAATGTCCTACTCCATTGCTGGGTAGAGACTTATTAAGCAAAATGGGAGCCACCACCTCCCTGGAAGAGGACAGACTGCAGGTAGAGGCAGAGCCAGGACAGGGAATCCACCTGCTAGCACTCTTAAATGGAAAGGAACTTGAGACCCAAAACATACCCAAAGAAAGCAAGGATCCCGTCACCCCTTCCCTGTGGGACACTTCAGTCCTAGGACAGGCTAATAAAGCTTCCCCAGCAAAGACAGATCTGAAGCCTGGGATGGGCTACCCATGGAAGAAATCGTACCTCCTAAAACCTGCGGCACTGAACGGGGTTCAGCCATTACTCCACAAATTCCTACAGCAAGGGCTAAACCGTGCCAGTCCCCAGGCAACACCTCAGTCCTCCCTGTTAAAAAGCCTAATGGAGAATATCAGTTTGTGTAGGACTTGAAGCGGGGTAATGAGGCAGTCATTCCCATCCACCCAACATTGGTCCCAAGCTTGTCTGTGCTCAGATACCTGGAGATGCTCAGTTTTTCACTCTACTACACTTCAAGGATGCTTTCTTTTGTGTAGCCCTCTCCACCCAGAATCCCTGTATCTTTTTGCATTGAATGGAGAAATCCCTGATACCCAGAAAGCCACATAGTACACATGGACTGTGCTTTCCCAGGGCTTCCGGGAAGGCCCTCACCTTTCTGGGAATGCAGGGTGCTAAGCCTACAGAATGGGACTTTATTACAATATGTGGATGACTTGTTCATTGTCAGACAGACATGGCAGGATTCAGATTTCAATATCATTAAAACCTTGAATTTCCTGGCTGAGCGGTGATACAAGGTCAGCCTCATCCAAGGCCCAGATTTATTTACAGAAGTTCTAATATCTGGGGTTCATTCTGACTCTAGGAGCCCAAACACTAGTTGTGGATTGGAAAGAGCAATCACTTCATTGCTGGTCCCACAAACAAAAAGGCAGCCCCAGGGTTTCTTGAGAATCATGGGCTTCTATTGTATTTGGATTCTAAATTATGGCCTGACAGCTAAAGCCCCACTTGAGACTCTAAAAGGGGAAGAAAGAGAGCCCTTGGACTGGGAGAAGAAATGTCAACAATCTTTTGAACCCCTAAAAACTGAGCTGGGTCAAGCCCTCGCCCTTGGACACCCCAATTGAGAAAAACCACTTACCTTATATGTTTGTGAGACACTAGGAACAGCTTTGGGAGTCTTAACTCAAAGGTCAGGACCTGTGCAGAAGTCAGTGGCTCATTTTTCAAAACAGATAAATCCAGTTGCACAGAACTGGCCTGGCTGCTGGAGGGCAGTGGCAGCCACTGCCCTGCTGTTTAGTGAAGCATCTAAGCTGACACGGGGACAATATACAGAAGCTATGACTCCCCACCAGGTTCAGACTGGGTTAGAAGTCAAGGGACACCAAGCTCTCTTATTAGACACCCTGGATATTACTTTGAGGGTATGTCAGACTTTGAACATGGCAACCTCACTCCCAACCACAGATGATGAGGACTCACAGCATCAATGCACAGGGCCCAAAGAACACACTCCAGCAGGCCTGGCTTGTGAGATAAGCCTCTTAAGAATGCAAAGACTGAATGATAGCATTCAGTCTTTGATAGGATAATGAACTGGCACCCCAACCATCAGGGAAAGTTAAGATGAACCATACACTTGAGACGACTCTAGCCAAACTCTGTTAGGAGCCACGCGAGCCCTGGGTTAAGATGCTCCCAGTCTTCTTAGGGTCCGCAGGGCCCCTGTGTGCAGACTAAGACTTAGTTCTTCTGAGATGATCTACCAGAGGCTTTTCCCCACCACTGACCTCCTGTTACGTGAAGAATTACATAAAAAATTACAGTATCAATTTAGGACAGATTCAAAAAGCGATTTCAGAGTACAGAAACAAAATCCTACCAGTCCCCACTAAGGATGGGAAAACCCCTTTACAAGCTAATCCAGGGAACCAAGTCCTTCTAAAGACTGGAAGGGCAGGCTCCCCGGAGAACCACCCCTTGCCTAAATGGCAGGGCCCTTACTGGGTGACCCTGACCACTCCAACCGCAGCCAAGTCACAAGGAATCACTAGCTGGGTACACCTCTCCCAATCAGAAATGCTTTCTCCTAAATGTTTCCAGACTCGCCCAGAAGGCCCATCTTCCTCCTGAAAACCTGTGGAAGACCTCAAATTCAGGAGAGCCAATTCATCATCGGAGAAGTAATGTGGTTAGAGATCTTGAGTCCAATACTTTTCCTCATATTACTAATTGTTTCACTATTATTCTGTTGCTTTGCTCAGCCTCCTCCCTCAGGTAAAGACTTCGTTTGTCCCTGCTGGGTATAAAGATGCTACTCCTTACTTTGTTCCTACTCCTCCCCATCGGGGCACAGGGTAGGCTGGATCCATTAAAATGGGAAATGATCTCTCTTGACAACCTTTCCAGCATTATAGCTTCAGGTCATAATTTGTCCAACTGCTGGGTGTCCTACCATCATCCCCAGGCTCAGAGGGGCTGCCTCTTCCATTCCCTAAAAGCTCAACTACCAACTTCACAAAGGAGGTATGGAAACCTAAAACAACCTCTGTACCTCTTATTGTGGCCCTAAGTATCTCCCTTTCCTTTGAATGTATAAACCTCATTGGGCTGCTAAATGCTTTGGTCACCAAAAAGGGTGGAAAAAAGAGAAGCTGGACCGCCTACTTTGGAATCCCACCGGGTTTTCTCTTAGCAGTAAAGAAAAACCCTAATCAAACTTGGGTTCAGGAAGGCTATCTTTTCCCCCACGCCAAAACAGTCATACCTCTCTCCAAAGCTTAGCTGCTCACCTGAACTCCTCTCGCCTTGTGTAAGTTTGTGCACCCATGGGGTATTCTGTTCCTTTGTGGACACCCAGACTGCCATCTGACCAACAGCTACCCCTCAGCCAATTTCACCTCTCTGTTACTTGCACTAGCAAGTAGCGTGCCCTTGTGTGGATAATGTACAACGCAATGAGGAATGCACGTCCCAGTGGAGTAACAGTTCATAATATCACACATGTGAAATCTAAAAGGGCAATAGGGCTAATTTTGGCGGGAGTTGGAATAGCCCCTTGGGGTGGTTCTGCCCCTAAGCAGCCCCTTGGGATGGCTTTGCATACTGTGAGGCGGCTTTGAGAAACTTTCAAACCCTTGAAACACTGGCAACTAGTAGAGGCAGAGCCATAAAAGGACGTCAAGCCTCCCTGCACTCCCTAGCCAATGCTGTCTCAGACAACGGATTTGCCCTGGACTATCTTCTTGCTGAACAAGGGCGGGTATGCGCAATAATAAACCACATCTGTTGTTCTTACATTAACAGTTCAAGATTGGTTAAACTGCAAGTTCAAAAGATTTACCAAGACCAGGCACAATGGCTCATGCCTGTAATCCCAGCACTTTGGGAGGCCAAGGTGGGTGGATCGTTTGAGCCTAGGAGTTCGAGACCAGCCTGGGCAACATGGCAAAACCCCATCTCTACAAACTTACAAAAAAAGAAAAAAAAAATTAGGCAGTCTTGGTGGCATGTGCCTTTATTCCCAGCTACTCCAGAGGCTGAGGTGGGAGGATCACCTGAGCCCATAAAGTTGAGGCTGCAGTAAGCCATGATGGCACCACTGCACTCCTATCTGGATGACAGAGTGAGACCCTGTCTCCAAAAGAAAATAAAAGTAAAGATTTACCAAGAGGCTACCTGGCTACATCTCAATAACTCTACTGCTCAAATCATCTGGGACTCCACCAGTGCATACCTACAAAGTATGACATGGTTTTTACCTTTCTTCGGACCCTAAGTGGTCATTTAATTGCTCTAACTTTTGGGGTATCGTGTTTTTAACCTTTTGGTAAAGTTTGTGTCTTTCAGGTTTCAATCGCTCCAAGTCAAGCTAATGGTGGCCCAAGGATTCCAACCCATACCATTCCAGGAGCACCCCAGTCCCTACAGGTCTTTAGGACAGTCAGTGAGAGATTTCCCCACCCCTCGAAGTGAGGCAAGGACGACATCCCTGTTCAGCAGGAAGTAGCTTCAGAAGATGAGACCTTCAGCCCTTTCTCCTTAAGAATAGAGGGTGAAATCTCTCAAGGGAACTAAAGATAGAACAGAAATGGAATGGGGTTGCTTCTTCATAATATTTAACCATGCCTTCTACTTAAAAGTTCCAGGAACTGGCCTTAGGAAATCTAAATATGAAACCAAGGTTATGGAGTGTCCCATCTCAGGAAGGAACACTGAACAATTGATTGACAGTCTTCTTCCCGCCAGCCAGACCACCAAGTGGCCCATTAATCAAGATAACCAACGCAACCAGATACGCTGACCCGCATCCCCTACCCCTCACGTGCTTTGCCCGGCCCAGCCTGCATACCTTACTCGTGATGTCAATTCCCACACTTCGCTAATAAAAACATCCCTGCAAGCCTCTTCAGGGAGCCAACAACACAGTCCTTGAGCCTCTGCTGTCTCCCTAGTGCTTGAGTACAAGCCCCAAAAACAAAATCCTTGTCTGGGAAATCTGGTTGGCCTCGTGTTAATTTTAATTACATGGGGAACCATAGAGCCTGTGATCTGTAATAAGGAAATGTATATTGCATTTTGCAGACTGTACAACATGCTGGAATGAGTGCCAGGGCAAAAGAAAGTTGGTGGGGGGCAGTGAACGGAAGGCAACACCCTAAAGTGAAGTCTCTGGCATTCAGATCTGCCATCTCTTGAGAGTTAGATCTGAATTCTAGCTGGCTCTTGTTCTTCTGGCCACACCACACTTACTTGATACTGTGCAGCTTTCTTGTGACGATCATTGGAAAGTCAACCTCAAAATATTTACTTGGGAGAAGATCTTCATCCTGGGGAAAAACACACAATACTTTTTATTTCTTTACTCTTACACGTGCTGATCATTTTCCACATGTCAAGCACTAGGCACCTAAGAGCAATACAGTGTTTAAGGATTTTAAATCAGGGAACTGATATGGGCAGACATGTTTTTCAAATTACTCATGAATAGATTTGAGGGAAGCAAGCACAGATGAAGGTAAAAGTCAGGACGCCAGAGGAGTTAGCCAGATAAGAAGGTAAGGTCCAGGAAGGAGCCTGAGCTAGGAGGTGGCAGCTGGGATGGTGGGGAGAGTTCAGAGGCGCTTTGGAAGTAGAATATACTCCATATTTTCAAAAGGCAGCTTGAGGCCAGGTGCAGTGGCTCACGACTGTAATCTCAACACTTCAGAAGGCTGAGGCAGGAGGATCGCTTGAGGCCAGGAGTTTGAGGCCAGGAGTTTTGAGGCCAGCCTGGGCAACACAGCGAGACCCTGTCCATACAAAAAAATTAAAAAGTTTAAACGATGTAACAACAACAAAAAAGGCAGCTTGAGCTCTATTAGGAGGGTCAGGAAATCAATGTAGTAGGTTTTGACGAGCATTAATTTTTGGATGAAATAGGTTAAAACAGCTAGTATCAAAAGCATCACATATATTAAGGGTATTATTTTCTGATACTTTTTTTTTTTTTTTTGAGACAGAGTCTCGCTCTGTCACCCAGGCTGGAGTGCAATGACACAATCTCATCTCACTGCAACCTCCACCTCCCGGGTTCAAGTGATTCTCCTGCCTCAGCCTCCAGAGTAACTGGGATTACAGGTGCCCAGCCTCTGATACATTTTTCTCTGTGATAGTGAAGTATGGTAGATTAAAGAACAGGCACTCTTGGAGCTGGAGGGGCTCAAACACCAGCTCCACCACTTATATGCTGTAAGCTCTTGGGAAAGTCAGTAAACTCACTGGGCCAGGATTTACTTGCTTGAAAAGTGAAGAAGCTGGGCACTGTGGCTCACGCCTGTAATCCCAGCACTTTGGGAGACTGAGGCAAGCGGATCACAACGTCAAGAAATCGAGACCATCCTGGCCAACATGATGGGGGTGAAACCCCATCTCTACTAAAAATACAAAAAGTAGCTACTCGGGAGGCTGAGGCAGGAGAATCGCTTGAACCCAGGAGGCAGAGGTTGCAGTGAGCTGAGATGGTACTACTGTACTCCAGCCTGGGCGACAGAGCAAGGCTCCATCTCAAAGATTAAAAAAAAGAAAAGTGAAGAAAATGCTAATGCTTCATGGGGTTGTGAGGATTAATGAAGCAATACATGTGGGGCTCCCAGGAAAGGGCCTGACCTTAGTAAAATTATCACACGGGGATCCAAAGAGCCTATGAGCTATAACAATAAGGGAAGGTATATTGTGTTTGCAATACTGCACAACGTGCTGGAAAGAAGGTCCCAGGGCAAGAAGGAAAGTGGGGTGGGGATCGAAGGAAAGTGGGGCGGGGATCAAAGGAAAGCAGCACCCTAAAATGAGGTCTCTAGCATTCAAATCAACACTGTGTGTGCCTTTATTACTGCAGACACAGGTACAGAGATAGGGGCCCTGGCTCGGGATGTAACATTTCTTCTTGTGGCCTGCAGTCAAATAAATATGAAAGACACACATACTCACACAAGCACAGACACACACACACATGTGCACACACAGCCCTGGGTCACCTGGCTTGCTTGGTAGCTACACCCTCCCTACCCAGTCACGCGCACATCATCCTATCATCCTAGTGTTCTCTCTGTGCCCTCCTCGCCATCCAGCCACCCAGTACCTCAGCCCTGCTGATGCCTCTGGAATCCCTCCACTCCTCCTGAGCTCTATCACCTCCAACCCAGACTGTCCCAGTGCCGCCTCTGGTGTCTCAAAGCTGCATGCTGCTGTGCACTGCACTAGCCACTGCCGGTGGCCTTCAGCAGCTCTGCACACTGCTAAAACTCAGCAAGAAACAAGGCACTCCACAGCCTGGCCCACCTGCCCAGCCTCTCCCCCTCTCCCCATCACCACTTATCCCAGAAATACAGAACTACTTTTTTAAAACAAAGACGACCGCTGACATCCAGAACCTAGTGATGGCTTCGCTGGTAGAGGACGGGATGGAGGAAAAGGAAAGGTAGGGTGACACCTTGTTTCTGACTGGAGCAACCGGGCAGGTAAGAGAACCATTCATGGAGACAGTAACAGGAGATGGAGCACAAGTATGGAGGGACAGATCAATCCCAGGGGATGAGTGGGGGATAGCAGACCTCCTGTGGACAGCATGATGGGGGCAGAAATCACCTGCAACCATATCCTAGTAGATAAGTAACCCTTAAGAGCAAACATCAGGGCTGAAAGATACAGCACCCACCTACATACACACCAGTCCTCTGCTGGAAACCCAGAGGACCCAACCTGGGCTTTATCTTTTTTTTTCTTTTTGAGACGGAGTCTTGCTCTGTCGCCCAGGCTGGAGTGCAGTGGCGTGATCTCGGCTCACTGCAAGCTCCGCCACCCAGGTTCACACCATTCTCCTGCCTCAACCTCCCGAGTAGCTGGAACTACAGGCGCCCGCCACCACACCCGGCTAATTTTTTTGTATTTTTAGTAGAGACGGGGTTTCACCATGTTAGCCAGGATGGTCTCAATCTCCTGACCTCGTGATCCACCCGCCTCAGCCTCCCAAAGTGCTGGGATTACAGGCCTGAGCCACCGCGCCCAGCCGGCTTCATCTTTTTAAAACAAAAAAGGCGGGCCAAGTACAGTGGCTCACAACTGTAATCCCAGCACTTTGGGAGGCCGAGGCAGGAGGACTGCTTGAGTCCAGGAGTTCAAGACCAGCCTGGGCAACATAGCAAGACCCTATCTCTACCAAAAATACAAATTAGCCAGGCATGGTGGCTTGCACCTGTAGTCCCCAGCTACTCGGAAGGCTGAGTTAGGAAGCTCGCCTGAGCCTGGGAGGAGGAGGCTGCGGTGGGCTGAGATTGCATCACTGCACTCCAGCCCGGGAGACAGAGCCAGAGCCTGTCACAAAAGCCATCCCAGGAGACCTGGGCTCCTGAATCTGAGCTGATCACACTTAGAGGTACAGTCCATGCCTGCTGGGTAGCGTTATGCAGAAGCTATTTCAAGATACTTGAGGGGGGCCACGTGCGGTGGCTCACACCCGTAATCCCAGCACTTTGAGACGCCGAGACAGGTGGATCACCTGAGGTCAGGAGTTCAAACCAGCCTGGCCAACAGAGTGAAACCCCATCTCTACTAAAAATACAAAATATTAGCTGGGCGTGGTGGTGGGTGCCTGTAATCCTAGCTACTCGGGAGGCTGAGGCAGGAGAATCGCTTGAACCCGGGAGGCAGAGGTTGCAGCGAGCCGAGATCACACCATTACACTCCAGTCTGGACAACAAGAGCAAAACTCTGTCTCAAAAAAAAAAAAAAAAAAAAAAAAGCTACTTGAGGGATATGAGTAGAGGGGAAATGGAAATAACTTTCCCTAGGAATTTCAATTTCTACAACACCTTTTAAGAACTTTTGCTCACAGCATATGGGAAGTTAAGGATCACCTAAAATTCCAGAAGACAACGAGAACAACATTTTCTTGGTGCTAAAAAAAAAAAAAATGTGTATGAATGAAAGATAGCATACTGACCCGCAGCTCTTACAGGACTTCTTCCTTTTTAAAGAGCTTTCCCACGCATTAGCACTCCCGAACCTTGTAAAACTTCTGAATAAGAGGTCAGAGCGGAGATAGCTTACAAAAGGCACACCCAGACCTCTTAAAAAAGACATCCTGCCAGTGTGGTGACTCACATCTGTAATCCCAGCACTTCAGGAGGCTGAGGCTGGTGGATCACTTGAGGCCAGGAGTTCAAGAGCAGCCTGGCCAACATGGTAAAACCCCATCTCTACAAAATAGCCAGGCACGGTGGTGCGCATCTGTAATCCCAGTTATTCAGGAGGCTGAGGCAGGAGAATCGCTTGAACCTTGGAGGCAGAGGTTGCAGTGAGCGGAGATCACACCACTGCACTCCAGCCTGGGAAACAGAGTGAGACTCTGACGGGTTGACGGGTGCAGCAAACCACCATGGCATGTGCGTACCTATGTAACAAACGTGCATGTTCTGCACATGTACCCCAGAACTTAAAGTATAATAAAAAAAAAAAAAGAGAGAGAGATCCTGTTTCTTGAGAAGGGGGCAAAATGACTGTGTGTGACAAGTGATGCTTCAACTTCTTATTCTGTGATTCTTGATGGCCCTTTTGACATTTCACCCCAAATAGCCGGAATGAAACTGACTGGAATGGAAGGCACCGAGACTGGGAACAGCTGCCACAGGGCAGGAGGAGTGGGGCACCCAAAGAGGACTCAACATGGCTGACCACCTCACAGACTGCCAAAATTGACCCTGCTTCCCTCCACAGGGAGATGGAGAGAAATAGGTTGTACGAATCCTTTGGTTCTATGGAAACAGAATTCCGGAGACACCAAGAAATAGAGACCCCTTCAAGCGTTTCACTCACCCATTATTCCTGTTTTTTTTTTTTGAGACAGGGTCTCGCTTGGATGCCCAGGTTGGAGTCCAGTGGCGC